CATATTTATTATAAATTGTATTTCATCTTGAAGATTTTTGGGGAACAAATCTTTGAGGCTTTTAATATAAAACCTTTAAAAACTTCAGAAGTTATTGCATGATTAATGTTAAAATTCGGTTGTATTTGTATATTCGTAATTGTGGATTTTCTATGGGTTTTGAAATCACAGTCGAAATTATTTGTATTTATTACTGCTATATCTAAAAAGTTTAACTCCTGCCTTTCGTTTTCTATTTCTAATGTGTATTGAATTGCGGGATCTTATTGATTTATTAATTCCAAAAATTTGCCATGTTTTTCTAATGAATCAAATCTCGCATGGCTGTCATCCACATACCTTTGGAATGAATTCAGTGAGAATAAGTTTATTTCCGCAAATCTCAAAGTTTTTGTTTCTAAATATTAAAAAATGCTTCTGCAACAACAACCATATGCATTAGTCCAATAGGGCCAGAATTCGGTATAATTCTAATTAGGTTTTTATGTAAAAAGTAGGATTGGCTTCAGCAAAATTCAATTAATTAGCGAATATCAGTAATAGTTAAGCTAGTTCTTTTTGCAAGATTATCTTTATATTATTTTGAGTGCACAAAATGTAAGTTAAACTTTTTTTTTTATATCGCAAGTTAAACCACAGCAATTATTTTTTAATAAACGATATATTCAGCGATGTAATTTTAATAAAAAAATAATAAACTAATAAACTTTAGATGAATAAAGTAAATAAATTAATGTAATTTTTTTATTTGATATTCACTAATTTTTTTTAAATGAAAAATCATTTGTAGTCCAAAGATTTGTGTACCATAGTATGTTCACTAATATTTGCACAGCTAGATTATTGCAACTCTCTCTACTTTGGAGTTATAAAGTCACTGTTAAAAAAACTGCAGTCTGTTCAAAATTGTGTAGCAAGACTGGTATTTAAAACTAGAATAGAAAATTATGAAAATGACCAGAAATTAACAAATTGCATTGGCTGAAAATTAGAGAAAGATTATATTTCAAGTTCCTTTTAATAATGTAGAAAATCTATTATACTGGACACTATCTCTAGCCGTTACTCTTGCTTGAGTAAAGGCTAGAGATAGTGTCTCGATAAAAATACTCATCTTGGGCAGATGGTAAATGCATCCTGCTACTGTCTTGTAGAAGGCCTCCTAGGCAAAGACTTAAGGGGTAAACAGATTCTATCTGTTGACCAGCCTTGCACCCCTTCATCATCTATTGGGCTGGCACAGATGTATTTTTAATACATTGTCTCCAGTTTTGGATGTTGAATGCTAGATCTTTTTGACAAAATGCATGGGTTTCGCTTGTGTCTCTGTTTTTATGACTAGGCAACTCATTCTATTATTTTCTAATGAGGGTAAAGCTCTAAAACATAGTTTTATGGTTCTGAGGCCGGCTGGTTGTCAGGTTTCCCGAACTCTGTCGTAGCTCTCAGAGAGGCTTATTCCATCATCAGCTGAAAAATATCAATGTATTAACAGTGTCATGTTGCGATTAGATGGTGTCCCTTTTTGTACTTTTGGTGTACATTGTTAAGGCCACATTTGGAGCCCTTTGTTACGATTTGAAGTTTGTTAATGGTAATGAGGCAATTGCTTGGGCTATTAAACAGTGTACTGAGTACTATCTATGCTTTGAGTCAAGTTTTTAACAAATTTAAAATCATCGCCAAGTTCTCTAAACCTATCATTACTAATATTCGTGGTCTTCGAAGTAACTTTTCTTCTGTTGAGTCTAATCTCTTGCAAAGTTCACCAGACTTACTTGTTCTTTGTGAGACTAATTTGAGTTCAGCTGTCTCATCTTGTGATCTTAGATGGTTATCTTCCTTTAATTCGTAAAGACTCCAATAGTCACATGCTAGACCTGGACATTTACATTTGTAAAAATTCACCCATTTGTTGGGAAACTAGGTTTAGTTCACAGACTATCCTTTTATGTACTTTCGTTTAGCACCACTTCACTCTGTCGCCTTTCTCTTTGTTTTATATCGCTCTCCTTCATCTCAAGACTGCACTCTTTTTCATGTTATTTCTGATCATATTGACCAAGCCCTCTCTTTATCCATCATTCAATATTATTGTTGTCAGTGACTTTTATGCTCATCACACTGAATGACTTGGCTCTTACCTTCTCTACTCAACTTATGTCTTGTTTCTGATCCTAGTCTGTGCTAGTTTCTCCACTTTCACCGTTAGGTACTTCTAATCACAGTTTGATCTCTCTAAAACTAATATCTCATTCTTCCTCATCATCTGAATCCCCCTATCAACGTATCTCTTACAACTACTTTAAAGCTGACTGGGACTCTTTCCGTGATTTTCCTGGTGGCCCTTGGGTAGAAATCTTGTCTTCCTGTTGACAAATGTACTTCTTACATAACTTTGTGGATTCAGGCTGGCATGGAAACTTTTGTTCTCTCTTAACATTTCTAGGTCTAGCCTCACTCTTCTCCGTGGTTTTCCTCACATTGCGCTACTACAATTGCCAATTGAAACCATTACTTTCATATCTATCAGCAAAGTAATTCGTCAGAAAACAGACATCTGTTTATTACTGCTAGAAACCATTGTAAAAAGGTTTTGTCTAACACCAAAGCCAACTATTCTCAGGTCATAAAATCTCGTATTTTATCGCAAAAATTAGGCTCTCATGACTTCTGGACAATCTTTAATAATATCAATAATAAGGGCAAATCTGTTCTTCCACCTCTCTTGTATGTTTCAGACTTTGTCATCTCACCTAAAGACAAAGCTGAATTGTTTGCTAAGAACTTTTCATCAATATCATCTCTTGATTCCATTAGTTCAAACAGGTTGATCCATTGCTTGACATTTGTATTACTCCAGCTTCTGTTTCTAAAGTGATTTCCTGCTTAGACTCTTCTACAGCTTGTAGCCCGGATAACATACCTGTTATAGTCTTGCAGAAGTGTTCTCTGGAGCTTTTGTCTATCCTTTCAAAACAATTCAACAAGTGCTTATCAGAGTCTTGTTTTCCAGCCTGCTGGAAAGCTGCATCTGTTATCCCTATTTTCAAAAAATTCTGGTGAGCGATCTGAATTGTCTAATTACGGTCCCATTAGTCTTCTTCCTAACATAACCAAAGTTTTTGAATCTTTAATTAACAAACAATTAACCTCTCATCTTGAATCTAATAACTTACTTTCTAATCATCAATATGGATTTCGATCTTTTCTTTCTATGGTTGATTCGCTAACAGTAATAACCAAATGGTTTTATTGTACATTAGATTAAGGTGAAGAGGTTAAGGTCATCGCTCTTGATATTTCTAAAGCTTTTGATAAAGTTTGGCATGCTGGTCTTCTCCATAAGCTTTCTTTTTACCGTGTATATACTAACATCTTTAAGGTTATTGAATCCTTCCTTTCCAATTGTAGTATAAAAGTTGTCTTCGATGGTCAGCACTCTTCTTCTTATTCTGTAACCTCAGGAGTTCCTCAAGGTTCAATCCTTGGCCCTATACTCTTTTTAATTTACATTAACGATCTTCCAGATATTCTCACATCTAAGGTGGCATTCTTTGCTAATGATACTACCATTTCTTCTTGTCATGATAAAAAGCCAGCACTCTCTGATTGGTTGGAAGGGGCATTTGAGCTTGAAAAGGATCTGACTTCTGCTACAGCATGAGGCTCACAGTGGCTGGTGAAATTTAATTCAGATAAAACTCAATTTTTTTCAGTCAATCATTATCGCAATAATTTAGATCTTTCTATATTTATAAATGGTAATGTACTCGATGAGTCTCCTACCCTTCATCTTCTAGGATTAACTCTTACTTCTGATCTTTCTTGGAAACCATTTATCAAATCCGTTGCAAAATTAGCATATGCTTAAGTTGCATCTCTTTATGGAGCTTGACACTTTCTCACTCCGGATTCTATTCTCTATCTCTATAAATCTTAAATCCGGCCTTGTATGGAATATTGTTACCATATCTGGGGCGAATCTTCTAATGATGCCCATTCTCTTTTAAACAAGGTGCAAAACGCATTGTAAGCATATTTGGACCTACGCTTGCAGCCAACCTTCAACCTCTGTTACGTCGTCATAATGTTGCTTCTCTTTCTCTTTTCTACAAATACTATAATGGACATTGCTCTAAAAAGCTAGCGTCTCTTGTGCCATCTACTAAAATTCATTCTCGTGTTACTTGTCATTCAATTAAGTCTCATCCTTTTTCTATGACTGTACCTAAATGCTCTAAAAACTCTTAATTGTCTAGTTTTTTTCCTCGAACATCAGTTCTTTATTATTCGCTTCCTTCATCTTGCTTTCCTGATTCATAAAATTTGATTCATAAAATCTTTTAAGTCGTCTTTCAATTGTTATCTTGCTCTACAATCTTTATCTTTTCTCTTCCAGTGACTTCCAACTCTTATTAGTAGTTGTTTGCAACCTTGTTGAAAGCGATGATGTTTTAAAAAAAAAAAAAAAAAAAAATTAACATTCCTCTTTAGTAATAAAAAAGCTGTTAAATAACATTTAACTTGATTTGCGGTAATTAATATTATTGGAGTAATTTAAAAAGTTAATGTCTTTAAAAAATGAAAAAATAAAGAGAATTTTGTGACGTCAAATATCATGTTAAGCTAATGTATTAATTTTTTCTTATTTAAAACATGGCATGATGTAATATAAAATTTTAATTTAACCAACATTTAACCAAATCTATTATAAACACATTCATAGAAATAGAAAATATAACAGAAATACTTTTTATGATATTGTTTTTAAAACATTTACTTCTTATAGGTTTGATATCAAAAAAATATGTTATATTAATAATAAAATTTATTATTATTACAATTATTATTATTACTTTAATTATTATATGAAATTTTAATACAATCAAGTAAATAAATTTAATAAAAACAATAAAAATAAAAATAAAATTGCTAATAATGATAAGAATAACAATAAAGAATTGTTTTTTAAATGGTTACAATTTAATTTTTTTAAGTCACAAAAGAGAAGCCATTTCAAGTGCGAATATACCAAGTAGAAAAATCTGAAAAAGAAGTTTTCAAAAAAAAAAACTGCTGGAATTTAAGCGATTTGAGAATTGTAGATGGAAAGTATAATCAATCGGTAAAATTATTAGTAGTATTATGAATTATTATATATATATATATATATATATATATATATATATATATATATATATATATATATATATATATACACATATATATATATATATATATATATATATATATATATATATATATATATATATATATATATATACATACATACATATATATATATATATATATATATATATATATATATATATATATATATATATATATATATGTATATATATATATATATATATATATATATATATATATATATATATATATATATATATATATATATATATATATGTATATATGTATATATGTATATATATATATATATATATATATATATATATATATATATATTATATATGTATATATGTATATATGTATATATATATATATATACATATATACATATATATATATATATATATATATATATATATATATATATATATATATATATATATATATATATATATATATATATATATATATATATATATATATATTATTTTTGAATATATACATATATATCTTATACTGCTGAGTTAGGTGAGCATGATGATGTCATACTCACCTAATGTCCAATAGCCTGCTGCCAGGGCATATGTTTCTAAAAAATATTAGAAACATATAAACATACAAACAACAGATAAGAGTGATAACGACCTTGTTTTGAAGAAAAAATGAACAGTAAAACTAGCAGTACAAAATAAAACACTTAAAAAAATAAAAATATGTTGTTATTAGATGTATTATGTTAATCTAATTAGCATATATTTATTAATTTAAATTTTATTGTTGTTATATATTTATAATGAATGAAATATCAGTGAGCCGCAAAATACTTTTTCAGAATAAGGAGGCCTTCTCGGGAGACACGTGTGGTCGCATGCCTTGAATTACCACGCAAATATTATTTTTTTATTGATAACTTGGCCACGATTTTTGAATATATTAAAAATGATGCATTTTAAAAACGCGTTGAAAAACAAAATGTTTGTTATATTATTTTATTTTTCTTATTAATAATTTATTTTTATAGTTATTAATGAGAAAATAAAAATATAAAAATAATATATATGAATATTTTTGATATATATATGAATATTTTTTTATTGATGAAGAAATAAAAGCATAAAAATAATATATATATGGGCTATTCCATTTTTACATTGCGTTACACGTGCAACAACTTAATCAAATATTTGCTTATTTAAACTTAAAATTAAACTTTTAGCTAATTTGGATGAAAGCTGTTAGTCTAATAAATAAAATAAGCTAAAAAGATTTAAATCCGGCCAAAAGAGAACTTATTGCTAAAAATACCACTTACACTTACATTAAAAAATACACTTACTTAAAAAATTACACTTACTTAAAAAATTGCTTCAACTTTCAGGTCTGATTTCTGTGAAACAGTAAAGCAATTAAATAGTGTACTGAGTACTATCTATACTTGAGTCAAGTTCTTTATAAATTTAAAATGACTAAAGTACCTAAAACTAAAAAACACAAAAAACCATCGTCATCACCAAGTTCTCTAAACCTATCATTTACTAATATTCGTGGTCTTCGAAGTAACTTTTCTTCTGTTGAGTCTTATCTCTTGCAAAGTTCACCAGACCTACTTGCTCTTTGTGAGACTAATTTGAGTTCGGCTGTCCCATCTTGTGATCTTAGTGTTGATGGTTATCTTCCTTTAATTCGTAAAGACTCCAATAATCACATGCTTGGCCTGGGCATCTACATTTGTAAGAACTCACCCATTTGTCGTGAAACTAGGTTTGAATCTACAGACTATTCATTTATGTGCTTTCGTTTAGCACAACTTCACTCTATCGTCTTTCTCTTTGTTCTATATCGCTCTCCTTCATCCCAAGATTGCACTATTCTTGATGTTATTTCTGATCAAATTGACCAAGCCCTCTCTCTTTATCCATCGGCCAATATCGTCGTTGTTGGTGACTTTAATGCCCATCACACCGATTGGCTTGGCTCTAGTGTCAGTGACTCTGCTGGCGTTAAGGCCCTCAACTTTTGCCTTTCTCAATCTCTAACTCAAATAGTCAACTTTCCAACTCGTTTTCCAGACAACCCTAATCATTTACCTTCTCTACTCGACTTATGTCTTGTTTTGGATCCTAGTCAGTGCTCAATTTCTCCACATTCACCCTTAGGTACTTCTGATCACGGTTTGATCTCTCTAAAACTATTATCAAATTCTTCTACTTCATCAGAATCCCCCTATCATCGTACCACATACAACTACCTTAAAGCTGACTGGGATTCTTTCCGTGATTTTCTTCGTGATGGCCCTTGGGTAGAAATCTTTCGTCTTCCTGCTGACAAATGTGCTTCTTACATAACTTCGTGGATTCAGGCTGGCATGGAATCTTTTATTCCCTCTCGACGATTCCAGGTCAAGCCTCACTCTTCTCCTTGGTTTTCCTCACATTGCGCTGCTGCAATTTCTAAACGAAACCGTTACTTCCATATCTATCAGCAAAACAATTCTCCAGAAAACAGACATCTGTTCACTATCGCCAGAAACCATTGTAAAAAGGTTTTGTCTGACGCCAAAGCTCGCTATTCCCAGGTCATTAAATCTCGTATCTCATCACAAAAATTAGGCTCTCGAGACTTCTGGAGAATCTTTAACAGTATCAATAATAAGGGCAAATCTGTTATTCCTTCTCTCTTGTATGGTTCAGACTTTGTCACCTCACCTAAAGACAAAGCTGAATTGTTTGCTAAGAACTTTTCATCAATATCATCTCTTGATTCCACTAGTTGCGTTTTACCTGACATAGCCGTCAAACAGGTTGATCCCTTGCTTGACATTCGCATCACTTCAGCTTCTGTATCTAAAGTAATTTCCTGCTTAGACTCTTCAACAGCTTGTGGTCCTGACAACATTCCTGTTGTAGTCTTGCAGAAGTGTTCTCCGGAGCTTTCATCCATACTTTCTAAACTATTTAACAAGTGCTTATCAGAGTCTTGTTTTCCATCATGCTGGAAAGCAGCATCTGTTATCCCTATTTTCAAAAATTCCGGAGAGCGATCTGATTCATCTAACTACCGTCCCATTAGTCTTCTTCCTGTCATAAGCAAGGTTTTTGAATCTTTAATCAGCAAACACTTAATCTCTCATCTTGAATCAAATAACTTACTTTCTGATCATCAATATGGATTTCGGTCTTCTCGTTCTACAGCTGATGTGCTAACAGTAATAACCGATAGGTTTTACCGTGCATTAGATAGAGGTGGAGAGGTTAAAGCTATCGCACTTGACATTTCTAAAGCTTTTGATAAAGTTTGGCATGCTGGTCTTCTCCATAAGCTTTCTTCTTATGGTGTAGCTGGTAACGTCTTTAAGATTATTGAGTCCTTTCTTTCCAATCGTAGTATAAAAGTTGTCCTCGATGGACAACACTCTTCTTCACATCCTGTATTTTCAGGGGTTCCTCAAGGTTCAATCCTTGGCCCTATACTCTTTTTAATTTACATTAACGATCTTCCAGATATTCTCACATCTAAGGTGGCATTATTCGCTGACGACACTACCATTTACTCTTGTCATGATAAGAAGCCTACACTCTCTGATTGCTTGGAGGGGGTATCTGAGCTTGAAAAGGATCTCACTTCTGCTACAGCATGGGGCTCACAGTGGCTGGTGAACTTTAATTCAGATAAAACTCAATTTTATTTGGCCAATCGTTATCGTAATAATTTAGATCTTCCTATATTTATGAATGGTAATGTTCTAGATGAGTCATCTACCATTCATCTTCTAGGATTAACTCTTACTTCTGATCTTTCTTTTAAACCGTATATCAAATCCATTGCAAAATTAGCATCTGCTAAGGTTGCATCTCTTTATCGAGCTCGACACTTTCTTACTCCAGATTCTATTCTCTATCTCTATAAATCTCAAATCCGTCTCTGTATGGAATACTGTTGCCACATCTGGGGCGGATCTTCTAATGATGCTCTTTCTCTTTTAGACAAGGTGCAAAAACAAATTGTAAACATAGTTGGACCTGCTCTGGCAGCCAAACTCCAACCTTTGTCACATCGTCGTAATGTTGCTTCTCTTTCTCTTTTCTACAAATACTATAATGGGCACTGCTCTAAAGAGCTAGCGTCCCTTGTGCCATCTACTAAAATTCATTCTCGTGTTACTCGCCATTCAATTAAGTCTCATCCTTTTTCTGTGACTGTTCCTAAGTGCTTCAAAAACTCTTATTCTTCTAGTTTTTTTCCTCGAACATCAGTTCTTTGGAATTCGCTTCCTTCATCTTGCTTTCCTGATTCATATAATTTGCAATCTTTTAAGTCATCAGTCAATCGTTATCTTGCTCCACAGATTTAGTCTTTTCTCTTCCAGTAACTTCCAACTCTTATAGTGGTTGCTTGCAGCCTTGTTGGAAGTGAAGATGTTAAAAAAAAAAAAAAAAAAAAAAAAAAAAAAGCAGTTTGTAATAAAAACTTGCACAAGATGTCGAGTATTCTATACTAAGTTAAATAATATATAAAAATTTTCTAGAGTTGACCGGGTAACGAAAATAAACTTATTTTTTTGATACTGTATATTTTACTTACGTTAAATCACTTACATTACCGAGCGATTATTATCGTGAATTTTTTTTATCTTATATAATTAGTTAGAATTACGAAACAAAAGAATTACAAAAGTATTGAACTCATTCATTTAAAATAATAAACAAAGAAAATTTTTAAAAACTGGTGGCACTCTTCTTGAGTGATTTATCCAAACATTCATGAAAGATATCAAATCAGAAACAGTTTTTCAACAAGACTAAGAGCAATTTTTAAAAATTATTGAAGTATTACAACTATTCATACTTAATTGATTCATTTAAATTAGTTTGTCAAAGTTTTTATTTACACTTCTTACGTTTATGCCTATTACTTTATTTTCATTAGGTTAGATTTTTAAAACGCTGCAAAGTATTTACATTTAAATTATTTAATCAATCACAGTTTAGGAGTGAGAGCTATCACACTTTAGGAGGGAGAGGGGTATATGTGAATATTTGTGACATGAAGGAAAGGTTTAAGAATTGACAAATATAGGGTGATGTGTTTATGGATAACCCCCGGACCAAACAATTTATTTTACTTAAACAAAAATAAAAAAGGTTCTAACTAATTTTTTTTTAAATTAAGAGAAAGGCAAATAAATCCCTTTTTTTTCTCTCTAAATAGAAATATTTATATAATTCTTATTTTTATTTTTTATTAAAAAAGAGTCTTCTTTTTAAATTCCCTTAATATAAAAAGTTTCAGCTAGTACTTTTTCAAATCAACACGACAAAATAATAATTATATAATGACGTATTTCATTTTGTAGACAAAAACTTAATAAAAAAGCGGTTAAAAAAAATAATTTATGAATATTTATATATATATATTATTTTTATGTATATTATTTTAATCACTCAGTATATCATTTTAATTTTTTTTACAATCAGTATATAATTTTAATCACTATTATTTATATATATATTATTTTAATCACTCCAGCTTCTGTTGCTAAAATCATATATCAATCTTCTTCTACGTCTTGTGGTCCAGACAACATTCCTGTCATAGTCTTACAAAATTGTTTTCCAGAACTCTTTTTAATTTCTTGATCAAAGACTCAAGGTCTTTGAGTTTTTGATCACCAAATTTCTCACATCCCATCTTGAGTCAAATAACTTACTGTTAGACAATCAATATGGTTTTTGATCTACTCATTTTATGGCTGACTTGCTAACTTCAATGACTGAATGATTTTTTTGTACTTTAGATGGAGGTGGGGAAGCTAGGGCTATTGCTCTTGACATATCTAAAGCTTTCAACAAAGTTTGGTATGCTGGTCTTCTCCATTAGCTTGCTTCATATGGTGTATCTGGAAACGTTTTTGAGAAAATTAAATCGTTTCTTTGTAACCTCTTTATTAAAGTCATCCTCAAAACCCAATTCTCTTCATTTCCAGTAATTGCTGGGGTACCTCAAGGTTCTGTCCTTGGTCCTGTTTTGTTTTTTAACTGCATTGATAATGTTCTTGACAACCTTACATTCTAAATAGCTCTCTTTGCTGATGGCTTAACTTTATACTCCTGTCTTGACAAAATTCTTCTCTTTTTGATTGCTTAGAATAGACAGCTGATCTTGAATTCTGTAACAGATGGTGCAAATAAGATCATGGTTGCTGCTAAAAGGAGTTTTTATCTCTAGTTCCATAAACTAAAACTGATTTTCGCTTGGCTTGTCATTCAGCTATGTCTCATTTGTTTACTGTCAATGTGTATATATATATATATATATATATATATATATATATATATATATATATATATATATATATATATATATATATATATATATATATATATATATATATATATATATATATATATATATATGTATAGGTAGATATGCAGGCCTTGTTTTAAAGTGTTAAACTGCCAGCATTCAAACACTTTAAAACAAGGATGAAAGAATGAAAGAAGTAATTAATTTTATAAAAAACCACTTTAACGATTTTGACAATTATGTTAGGTGTAAGCGCTATTAACTTATAAAAAAAATTAAAAACTGCAAAAATTTAATCTCTGTTAACCTAATTATTTTATTGAACAGAAAACTAATTTGTTTATAGTAACGTTTATAGTTTTTTTTTAAATTCGAAGTTATTAAAAAACAAAACAAACAAACAAAAAAACATAAAAGAAATGTATATAATAAAAACTTTTATTTATCATCTTGAGAGGAAAGTATTATTTATGCAACTTTTGATTGCATTAAAAAAATTTACTTAAGTTTCTATATACTAATAAATAATTTATACTTAATTTTTTTTATATTGTAATGATCGATTTTTTTGCTTGAAAAACGCTAATACTTTAACCTTGAAGCAAAGATCATTATAATGTAATTTAATTTTGATCAAAAAATAAATGATTTAATTCAAAAATAATTTAACAAAAATATATAATTTTATTCTTATAAAAAAATATGCAATTTAATTTTGATTTAAATATATAAAATTAAAGTTAATGCTTATTTTTAACTTAACTGTTAAATTTATTTAAAGATGATACTAAATATTGTTAAATGTTTAAATTTTATTCTTAAAAAAAAATTAACTTGCATTTGTTATTTCGGTTTTTTTTCCTAAACATTTTTTTTTACTCAAAATTAAATATTAAATAAAGGTGTTCCGAGGCTAAACGTAAGTTAAACTATTTTTATAAAGCAAGTAGAGCGCACCAATAATTTTTTGATACATGATATATACGATATAATTTTAACAAATGGTATTTCAAAACAAAATCGCTAATAAAATAATAAACTTTTAATAAATAAAGGTGAATAAATTAACCTAATTTTTTTATTTGTTCTTGCTAATTTTTTTTAAAATAAAAAATCTTTTTTAGTCACAATTTTTTTTTAATGATTGTTTAAGAAATAACGATTTTTAAAAAAATTAACATATTTTAATTCATTTATACAAATGTTGAGAAAAGCAATTTTTTACATAAATTTTTTTTTTTTTTTTAATGTAAATCAAATTTATTATTTAATATTAAAAAAATGAAAGAAACAAACATTTTGTAATAGTATTATTAAAAAGCGAGTTTAACAATATTTAACTCGTTTTGCGGTTATTGCAGTAATTTGAAAAAGTTAATGTCTTTAAAAAATAAAAAGATAAAGAGAATTTTATGACGTCAAATTCACATTAAGCTAATGCATTAAGCATTTGTTATTTAAAACAAGGCCTGATATATATATATATATATATATATATATATATATATATATATATATATATATATATATGTATATATATATATATATATATATATATATATATATATATATATATACACATATATATATATATATTATATATATATATATATATATATATATATATATATATATATATATATATATATATATATATATATATATACAAATAGTATTGCGTACAAAGGTAAGCAATCTGACATCATACTGAAATAGCCTGCTGCTGAGGGCTTCATTACATACATCGACTGACAAATTGCCTGACTCACAGTGGAGTGCTGCTACATCAACTGAGGGTTTGGGATGGGGAAGCAATCATTTCATTCATAATTCTTTGTTTTTCTTCTTTTTCGAAAAAAACGGTATAGCTTAAAGTAAGCAGAAAAAGTGAGCAAATGCTTATTAAAACACGCTTTAGTATATGTATATGTATATATGTATATTTATATGCATATACATATATTATATATATACATAATTTATATAATGTATATATTGTAATATAATATATTTATATAATATAAATATGTATTCATATATATATATAATGCATATATATATATATATATATATATATATATATATATATATATATATATATATATATATATATATATATATTGCTTTTAATTTTAATTCAAGGATTCTCTAGAATTTGATTTACACTTTGAGAAAATATACAAATGGCATGCTAGTCGAACACTTGATCGGAATCAATTTATTGAAACTCTTTGGACTGTATGCTGTGTTTTATTTATTTTATAAGTGTTACTAACAAATTTTAACTTATAATCAGTTCTTCAAGATTGAGATTTTCTGTGTTTAATTATTGTTTTCTTTCTTTAAATTTAGCTTGTGCGCCGATATGGTGGTGAGTCCAAACCAAAATTTCAGAATGTCAGTCACCATATTTTTGATGCAGGTAGTTCTATTTCTTCTATTTCGTGACTTAAACTGCTAAAAGTAGTTGTTTTATTTAAAATATATTTTCATGTTTGTTTAGAACCTGATGCATTTTGTGCTAGTGTTTTGAAAGGGTCGCAACAAAATCAAGAAACTCAAGGTAGTTTTATTAATTTTTTTTTTTTGTGTGTAAATTTTTTAAAAATAAAAATCTTTTAAGTTTATATTTGTTATCTCTAATTAATTATTCATAATTTATAAATATTTTATTTGAATGGTTTTTTTTTTCTTTCTTTTAACTTTTAACTTTCTTTTAACTTTCTTTCTTTTAACTTTCTTTCTTTTAACTCATATATTTCTAATATTTTGTTTATGAATTTTTAAAGATGATTATCAAAAACTCACTCCAAAAGAAGAGAATGATCTTAACAAAATATTGGACCAATTTGAAGGAGCACTTACAAAAGTTGAGATTTTTACTGAAAAGCTATCTACAGAATTGCAACAACTTGAATATGTAAGATTATATTCAACATGATATAATAAAACAATATGCCTGAAGACAATATCCTGCTCAATATTTATAATAATTTTTCAAACGTACTTTAAGTTTATCAATTCTAAAGTGAGATTTTTTTAAAACTTAAATTGAGTAGCTGTTTGAAGTTATTATTACTTAAATTTAGTAGCTGTTTGAAGTTATTGTTACTTAAATTGAGTAGCTGTTTGAAGTTATTATTACTTAAATTGAGTAGCTGTTTGAAGTTATTGTTACTTAAATTGAGTAGCTGTTTGAAGTTATTATTATTTAAATTGAGTAGCTGTTTGAAGTTATTATTACTTAAATTGAGTAGCTGCTTGAAGTTATTATTACTTAAATTGAGTAGCTGTTTGAAGTTATTATTACTTAAATTGAGTTGCTTTTTGAAGTTATTGTTACTTAAATTGAATAGCTGTTTGAATAGCTGTTTATAATAGGGGTTCATTTATTTACAAATGGATTAGAGAAAAACTATAATATTTTTTAACATAAGTAACATTCTGCAACATTCACACATGTCTAGGATTGATTTGATCACCCTTTAGTATGAAAATTAAAAATCTATTTATTGCTGTTTGTGTAATTAAAACCCTTTAAGCATAAATTGATTTAATTACCAATGTTATTATTTAAGCGTCAATATATCAATATTAATAGTTTAATATCATAATATTAATAGTTTAATATCACAATATTAATAGTTTAATATCACAATATTTATGTTATAAGGGTGTAAATACAACTTTACTTCATTAAACATTTTTTTGTTTTAGTGAGTTTGTACATTTAGATAAACATAACATCATTGATGGGTTCAGAGCAGCAAGCTAAGGATCTCCTATCCTTGATTGATAAAAGTGCAGACGAATTAAATATACTTGATAAACGATTACAGTTGTATGATCATTGCCTGCAGGTTTTATTTATAATACTAAAAATTTTTTTTCTTTTTTCAAATTAAATTTACGTTATAAATATTATTTTATATTACTTTAGAAAGTAAGTGATCAAATGGGACAAATGGAATTTAAAGACAACCGAATGGAAGTTGAAAGATCAAGTAACAAACAGCTTTTAGAGGAGATCAAATATATTGTAGTATGTTTTTCAGTAGTTTATTATGTCTACGTGTATATATATACATATGTATATATATATATATATATATATATATATATATATATATATATATATATATATATATATATATATACATATATATATATATATATATATATATATATATATATATATATATATATATATATATATATATATATATATATATATATATATATATATACATACATATGTATATATGTATATATAAATATACATATATATATATATATATATATATATATATATATATATATATATATATATATATATATATATATATATATATATATTATGTCTATGTGTATATATATATATATATATATATATACATATGTATGTATATATATATATATATATATATATATATATATATATATATATATATATATCATATATATATATATATATATATATATATATATATATATATATATATATATATATATATATATATATATATATATATATATATATATATATATATATACATATGTACATATATAGTTATTTGATTTTAATAATTATGTATTTAAAAATTTGTGAATGGATTTTTAAAAGTGTTTTGTTTTACCCCATTTTGTACATAAAATGATTTACGCATTACGCATTTTACTTATAAAACAGGGTCAGAGCAGATTAAAAAAAATAGATAGTTAAATATTTTTTTGTTTAATTAATCAACTTAATATTATAAATGGTTTTTAAAATTAAATATTTAAATTTAACTTTGAAGGAGTGTAAAATGGTTTCTTTAAAAAATAATTATTTCCTTTTTTATTTGCTGACTCATGTAAAAATGTTAAGGTATTGCAAAAGTCTTCATCAAAAATTAAAATGTGTAAAAGCAATTATAAAACATTTTTTGTGTTAATGTTTTTTTTTGTTTAAGATTTTTTTCACTAATGGAATTAAAACTTTTTGTTTGTTATTAGTTTGAAATCATATTATGTTTGTATGATATAAGCTTTATTTATGAACACAAATTATGTTTACAAATATCTTATTGGTAACTGATAAAATATATCTGAAAATTGTTTACAAACTTATTTTAAAATAACTCATTGAATATGTAAAAAAAAAAAAAAAAAAAAAAAACTAAATTGTGATAAAGCAAACAAAAGATTATCATGTTTTATATAAAATAGTATATAATAAAATAAATAATAAATAAATACAGTCTTTTTTAAATAACCAAATTAGATTTCATTAGTAATTTATATTAGCTGTCATGACCTGTACAATACGTGTCATTGTAAGTCTATTCTTAATTTAGTTGTTATAATTTAATTTATTTTAGTAAACGGCAAAAAATAAATCAATTTAAAGTTCTGGTAGTCGGTAAAATGCAAACTTTTTTGCAAACCATTGGTCTATTGGTTGTTAAATTATAATTAATTTAAAAGAAAGCAGTCTAATTTAAATAAAATATATCAAATACTTTTAAATTTAATTTAAAAAATTGATGAGCAAATGTTTTTTAAATATCATAACTGTTGTAGTCATTATAATATAATATACAATACTGTTGAGATGTAATGCCATGTTAAATCTTTTACAGACATAACAAGAAAGTAAAGGATAGTCAATTAAGTCTAGTTTAGCTTTAAATAAGTTGAGATTTTTAACTTCCACTGTTTCAATTAGTAAATTGTTCCAGAACTTGACTGTGCAATTTGTAAAAAAACCTTCACGATTTCGATTTAAATGTTTCTTATCGGTGAATAAATGATGTTTATTACCTTGAATGTTTGAACACGAACCAGAAGAATTTAAAGAGTACGAATGTTGAGGGGGTATTTTCCAAGTTATTTTCTCTATATCATAATACCATTTGTACATTTGTATGAGATCTCCTCGTATTCTTTGTTGTTTTAAAGATGTTAATTTCATTTTTTCTAGTCTTTCTTTGTATGATAGATGACGTAGCTCAGGTACAGATTTTGTTACTTGTTTTTGAATTTTTTCTAATATATTTATATCTTTTTCAAGATAAGGACTCCGTACTTGTATTGCAAATTCTAAATGCGGCCGTATATAACTACAATACAACAATTTTATTAGTTCACTATTTTTATACTTAAATAATTTGCATATTATACCAAATTTATAGTTTGCAATAGATGATGCAATTTTGATTTGTGGTTCCCGTTTTAAGTCATTCAAATTAATAAGCCTAGATCCTTTTCCAATTTAGTTGTAGTTAATTCTTGCTTTATATTATTGTTAGTCTTGAAATATTTATAATTTTTATTTTTGTTACCAATATGCATAATTTTACATTTTTCAAAATTGAAAGTAAACCAAGTCATCCAGTTTATTACCCATTTTTCTAACATAGAAATATCATTTTGTAAAGCATGTGCATTCGTTTCATTATTAACTTCAGCTATTACTTTACAATCATCTGCATACAACAACAATTGGTTTGTAAGTTGACTTGGAAGATCATTGATGTATATTAAAAATAAAATTGAACCAAACACAGAACCTTGTGGTACACCGCTTACTATTTCTACCCATGATGATACACTTTCTCCAAGTACAACTCTTTGCTTCCTATCAGTTAAAAAATAAATTATACACTTCAATAACATAGATGTAATGCCATATGCTTCAAGTTTTAGTGCTAATCTCCTATGTGAAACTTTGTCAAAGGCTTTTTTGAAATCAGTATAAAGGATATCAAAGGATTTACCATTTGCAACACCTGTTGTTACTATATCCATGTATTCTAGGAGATTAGTTGTGCAACTTTTGCCTTTTTGTAAAACCATGCTGATTAGAAAATAATAAATTGATCTCATTTTGCTTTTTTAGCTATGTATTTTTCATACTCTATTGTAGCTTTTTTAACTTGTTTATATACTTCTCTTTTTGCTTTATTATATTGGGATTTTTTTAAACTATTTGTCCATAAAGAAAATCTATTGATAGACTATAGTATATTCTTCTTTTTGATATCATTTATAATCTCTTTGTTAAGGAATATTTTTCTGTTATTATGATTAATTTTTACTAATGGAATAAATTTTTTACAAGCTGTTTAGTAATAATAATTGAAAAATTCACAATAATCGTTTATAATTTTGTTCAAGAAAAGAGTATTCCAATCTATCGAGTGTATATAGTTTGATTATAAGATAATTTCTCAATTTAAATTTTTTTTTTTAAAGGTGTTATTCTTGCTTACAAAACTTTCACTTATAATGTATTGCCATGTTATTACGTGATGACCTTAAAAATGTCTTGGTTTGCTAAAATGTTTGCTGTTCGCATTTTACTGACTACCTAAAGTTCTTGCCTTTTAGTTAATTTACTATACTTTAGAACTTATTTAGTATTTTTAATAATTGCATTATTACTTATTTACTTTAATATTTTTTACATAATAAAAGTATTTTTAGCATATAAGACAGTTGCATAACATTTCTTCAGGTGTTTTTAAAAACTTAGACAATGATAATAAATATTTTAACCCTCTCATTAAGATTTATTTAAAAAGCAAAATTTGGACATTAAAAAAATGGGCTCAAGAGACCTAGTTATTTCAAATAAGTTAGTTTTATCTGTTTGATTTTTTTTATAAAAGCCTTTCTGTAAAAAAAGTCTTAACAAATTCATACAATTAAGCTATTTTTATATCAAACATGATAATCTTTTGTTTGCTTTATCACAATTTAGTTTTTTTTTTTTTTTTTTTTTTTTTTACATATTCAATGAGTTATTTTAAAATAAGTTTGTAAACAATTTTCAGATATATTTTATCAGTTACCAATAAGATATTTGTAAACATAATTTGTGTTCATAAATAAAGCTTATATCATACAAACATAATATGATTTCAAACTAATAACAAACAAAAAGTTTTAATTCCATTAGTGAAAAAAATCTTAAACAAAAAAAAACATTAACACAAAAAATGTTTTATAATTGCTTTTACACATTTTAATTTTTGATGAAGACTTTTGCAATACCTTAACATTTTTACATGAGTCAGCAAATAAAAAAGGAAATAATTATTTTTTAAAGAAACCATTTTACACTCCTTCAAAGTTAAATTTAAATATTTAATTTTAAAAACCATTTATAATATAAAGTTGATTAATTAAACAAAAAAATATTTAACTATCTATTTTTTTTAATCTGCTCTGACCCTGTTTTATAAGTAAAATGCGTAATGCGTAAATCATTTTATGTACAAAATGGGGTAAAACAAAACACTTTTAAAAATCCATTCACAAATTTTTAAATACATAATTATTAAAATCAAATAACTATATATATTTAGACAAATAAATTATTAAACCTGTTGTTTGTGCAATCGATACTTAATGCAAATGGAAACTGTTTTGATTTTACAAAAGGTGATAAAAGTATAAATGGTTTCACATTCACATTTAAAAAGATAACGGAAATATAAAAAAACCAAAAGCAAAAATAGCCAATATGTCTATTCAAAAAAATAGAAATTTATTTGAGAAACAAAAAAATTTTCTTGAAATAAAATATAAATATAAACTTTGAAAAAAAACTCCAAAAAACTTTATATTCAAAATAAAAAAGTATCAAAAATACTTATAAAAACAATTTAAATTAAAACATTCTTTCATTATTATATATCTTTTATTAAATGGTATGAAGATTGTCAAGCTTCGTTTTAACTTTTTGAATTCAGAACATTTCTTAAATTTTGATATGTAGGAACTTTCAAAAGAAGGAATTCGACCTAAAAATGAAACAAAATTATTATTAAATACACTCAATACACATTAATTTGTTATGTACTCTATTTATTTATTTGAAAACTCAAAAATGTGACTAAACAGATAGCAAATAAGATACTTACTTTGTGAGGTTGTTTATCTTTTGTGAAAGTTTCAAGATTTATTGTTGCAAGTTTGGATTAACAACTTTTTTTAAAGAAGCAAGGCTCAAAATAAATGATCACAATATGATAAACCTTAATTTTTATTTGA